TTGTTTGTTTTTTCCGTTTTGTTTCAGTCGTGGGCGGAGCGAGCGAAGACCCCGAGCGCCAAAACCTCGACCGCAGACGACCCCAAGAAAAGGAAACGACCCGAGGAGGAAGGAGACGAGGCAGGAGGCGAGGAGACGAACAAGGAAACGAACAAGGAGACGAACGCCAAGAAAACCAAAACTGTGGGCGCGGCCGAGAAACTGTCCGCCTTCGCCTTCAACTGACCAGAGGTTTACTCCACAAATGTTCCAATGTTCTAATGTTCTGAGCTCTGATTTATAATAAAGATTTGTGTTTCTGCAGATCTGTCTTTATTGAGCTCCATTCTGTTCTTCTGTTCTTCTGTTCTCTCTTCTGTTCTTCTGTTCTTCTTCTGTTCTTCTGTTCTTCTGTCTTCTGTTCCATGTTCACGTTGGTTTTCCTGGTGCAGTCGGATAAATAAATCTGATTCAATATTTAGTTTCTTTAATTATTTAAAATTACTCAAATAATTCAATAAAAATAAGTAAAATGAGTTACAAGAACTCAAAAAAATGAGGCAGTCGGTTGCATTAATTATTTGAAGTTGATGTTCTTAAAAGTCACAACCTCCAGGACTCAGGTTCTGTTCACACGAGAAACACGAGTAAAAACACCAAATATTTGATGTGAAGTGTTTTTGTTCAGACGCTGACGACGTTTTTGGGCTGAAAAACACAAAAATCTTAACCCACCTCCAGAGTCAAAAAGTTGAATAAACTTAAAAATAAACTAAACGCCGTAGAGTTTGTCTCCACTGTAAGACACAAAACTCAGGTCACATGAGCTCAGGTCGTGTAGGAGTTTAGGACACAAACGAACGCGTGGATCATTTCCAGTGTCTCTTAAAGGTTGTATGGAGGATTTTTTTAAGGGAAGAGAAATACAGCGAGAGTCCTTTTTTCAAATGTTGTGCATGTGTGACTCCACCTTCCTCCTCCACAGCCTCAGTAGAAACACGTGTTTACAGCCAGTGCTCGTTCAGAATCACTGTTGAAGTTTCCTGTCGAGAAATAATTTTGTGACCAACGCGTCTTCAGTTTTTAGACCCTTCGTCTGCTTCAGTCGCCCCATTGCTGTAAAGAATCTCCAAGGAATCTCCTTTCCCCCTTCGCTTCTTCTTTCAGCGACCTCAAAAACGGACTTTCTTTTGCGGCGAACTGCTCCTGGATTCTCGTCCGTCATCGCAACAAACTTTGTGCGAACTGCGAGGAAGCGACAGTTTGAAAAAGCCTCAAAGAACCGCTGCATAAACCACATAATCCCTGCGCGCCACCGAGTCAGTTACACGAGAAATGCAGGGAGTTTGATTAGACAACCTAACAGCCAATAGAAAATGAGGGAGCCTCGTTTTCTATTGGTTGATGTTTATCTGGCCTCAACACGTCCACAGTTGATGGATTTTCACTCTTTTTTTTTTTTGGTCATCATAATTACAAAGCTGCTGCGTCTCTGTACTGGTATTTTAAACTTTCATTGACAATTTGAAACCAAAAAAAAATCCTCTATACAACCTTTAAGTCTCCGTTCAGTCTGCAGGTTTAACTCTCAATTCAAATTTGTTTTGTGAAATCTGATGTTTTTTCGAGGTCGTTCACATTTCCAGTTAAATGTGACTTGTGTGTGACTCCAGTGTGAACATTAAACGGTCCAAAAGTGTCCCACATGTGACACTGGAGACACGACGACGTCAACCGCAGCGAGCGTCTCTGTGTTTACACCTGGAGATTTTAAAAGTTCCTCTCGTACCGGAGCCACAACATGAACAACTGACTTGTTTTAAGGAGGAGATTGAGAAGGAGAAGGAGCAGGTTTTTGGTGGTGGTGTTTTGTGGTGAGTGGAGATGTGCTTCACTTCAGTCACATGGATCATGAACAGTTTTCTCTACTTCAGTGCAGAATAGTGACGTTTGTGTCTTGTTGATGACGTGTAGGTGGATGAATGTGACCTGACTGTTCACACTCAAGTCACATGTTAAAGATCAGATATGGATCAGTTTCAGGAGCACAGATCCAAGTGTCCTGGTCACATGTGAAAACATCACATCTGTGTGGTTCAGACATGAAAAGATCAGATACAAGAACATAGAGACAAAACATCAGATTTGGGAAACTTCAGGTGCATCTGAACTCAGTTTAATCTCACAAATAAAATCCCAGGAGCCAAAAGAACAAACATGTTGAACGTGCAGAGACTCTGTGAGTGACAGAAGATCTTCAATGACCTCTGTCACACTCGGACGCACCAGGTCGTCTGAGTCCAGTCACACAGATCTGGACCGGACCTGGAGAACCGGTGGACGACGACTTTGTGGAAGGAGGAGCTGATGAAAATGTGCGGAGAGAAACAACAACAAAGACAAAAGCACAATCCACTTCACACACTTTAGTGTCTCCGTCTGCAGCAGATTTACTCCTGAAAACACTCGACTAAAACACCAAGAAAAAGTCAAGACGCCACCACCAAACTTCTACATCTTC